GCCCTTCGACCTGTTTGTTTCCTCTCCACCTATCCTCTCCTCTATCCCTCTTCTATCCGCCTCCCACTCTCTCCCTATTTATTTCAAAACCCCCTTCCCCTCCCCCTTTTCTGATGAAGGGTCTAGGCCCGAAACGTCAGCCTCTCTGCTCCTATGATGCTGCTTGGCCTGCTGTGTTCATCCAGCCCTGCACCTTGTTGCCTGTAGATATCCCAGTTTACTTGAGCCTAAAACCTCCTGAGTCAGTCACTTGTAGCTAATTAACTTTTACTCTGCTGAACAAACAGAAACTAAAGCCCAAAGCCTTTGCCCAACAATTTTGCAGAGAGTGTTTTATGGGTTGAAGAGACATCTAAGAGGTAGCTGGATCATTTTTTTTGTGAGGAGGGAGAATGGGAAGACAGAGGATGGGACAGGAGATGTTTTAGCATCTTCTTACACTACTTTGTAAAGTACAGCTGGAGGTACATCAACACAGATGTTACAGCCCCCATTAGTTGGTCTGAGAACCTTTTGAGTTTGGCACAAAGCATAGGATAACTTCTGCTCTACACGAAACCACACCTTTTACAGCTGGCCTGTAAACAGGTGAAATCAAAGCAAAATGTTGACACTCATGGACACCATTCATGTGTAGCCTGCAGTTTATTTTGTACTTTATCCAATCTCATTTACATAGGCAAATGCAGCATCAATTTAGAACATGGCAAAGTCCAGCAATCATCAATAATGCGTGGCTGGTTTGTTTTTACTGTATTGGCTGAGGGTGAAGTTGGTCATATCATTGGGAGGATTCCCTTACCATAGATCTTTAGTGTACGTCAGAGCCAATTGATAGGACTTGCTTTAAAATTTCATCTTTAGGGTAGCTCTTCTGGCAATACAGTAGTCTTTAGGTACTGCATTGGAGCATCAATGCTCCATTGCTTTGAAATTACAATTGCTGACTTTGAGGGCCTACCAACTAGGGTTATCACTCCAGGGTAAAACGTATCTGAAGGTTTCAAAATAAAGTCATAGAGTTCCACGCATAGAAGAAGGCCCTTCGGCCCATCAAGCTTTCACAGGTCAAAAACAGCCACCTACCTATTTCCATCCCATTTTCCACCACTTGGTCTTGTATGCTTTGTGTACATCTAAATGCTTTTTAAATGTTAAGGGTTTCTGTCTCTACCACCCCTTCAGATCTTCACATCATCTCTAAGCTTCCTGCCGCTTTATCTTAAATTTATGCCACTGGTCATTAATCCTTCCACCAAAGGGAAGAAATTCCATTGACCTAATTGTCTATATACCGAAGTTTTGAAAGATGTGGTGGTATGCATTGGCAGTCATCTTGTCAAGCTCTATTAATTCTGGAATTGTACCTGAAGAATTGAGTTTTAATGATACATGTCCACGCCTGTCAGATCATGATGGGAACATAGCCTTGACTTATGAACTAGAGGTAGGAACACTATCGCTGCAGCATTAAACACTATTAACTGAAATAGTACCAGTTGCCTTGGTGAGATTTGAACACTTGTCACAGATCATTAGCCTGGGCATCTGGATTGCTAGATCCTGCCATTACAGCCATGTCACCACTTTCCCTCTCAACCAGTCAAAGGACCTTTCTCTCTCTTTTCTAATAAGCAAAAGTGTTCAAAGAAAACATAGAAAAAGGCCACACAATATTTTTTGGACGTCAATATTTTCTTCAGGGTTTTGCTCATAACCCATGAGATTGACACTTTGTTTCTGAATGCTGCAGGGCAATCCTAGAAAGTTAGCAACCTTACTGAGATAAGTTTGCCACTGATGACTGCTTTGTACGTGCTGGAGAAGGTTAACTGTAGAATGAGCAACTTAAATGGGTTACCTGGCATTGCAAAACACCCCTATAGGTGCCACACTGAAGCACACTTAGTGCAGCAATATCAAAGTACAGACCTGTGTGCATGCCCCAATCTGATACAGAACAAATGACTAAATCCAGATATCGTTCCTTTGTTCATTGTAAAACAGGTTGCTGGAGTGGCTCGGATGTTTTCAAAGTTGTGTTTAAAAATCCAGATCATTAGCGTAAGCACAGCTGTATCATAAATTGTTGCAAAATATGCAGCATGACTTTTTTATGAATGGTTCACACATATTTTCTTTTGTCTCCAAAACTCAAGTCTATAAATATAAGATAATAGCCATTAAATCTGTTAAGGCATTGAGGAGAAATGTCTTTACCCAGAGAGTGGTGGGAAGGTGGAACTCATTTTCATGAGAACTGATTGAGGTTAAGCACACGGGTCCATTCAAGGGGAACCCAGATACACATGTGACATGGTGTGAGCGAGGAATATCTCAAGACATAGTTAATGTGAATGGCATAGATGCATTGAAGGAAAATAAAATGGCGTTTGTTCAGTGCCTTTTGTAATCTCAGGATGTCTTAACATGTTTTATAGCCAATGAAGTACTTTGAAATGGTGTACCCAATTTGTAATGTAGGAAGGACAGTAACCAGTTTATGCACAGCAAGTTTTCACATGCTTTGTTGATGTTGATTGAGGGATAAATATTGACTAGACAGTGGGGAGAATGCACTTGATTTTCATTTCAATAATGAGGTGGATCTTATACATCTGTCCTCAGGAAATGCCTCATCTGTAAGACTGTCTATCCAACAATGCAGCATTCCCTTAG